AAATTCATACATACCTATTACGTACATACATTTGTATAAACAAAAAAATATATGAATGCACTTTTTTAGCTCCGCAAATACCAATTTGCACACTGTGCTGCATATCGTGATGTTACACTTCGGCAACGATAATATTAAACGTCAGATCGCATCGCGTCCGTTAAAAAAATTAAAACGGATATGTCGGATACAGAGCTTATCATAAAAATTATAAATGCTGTAAAGCAACGCGATTGCCTGTGGAATGTACATTCCTCTGAATATGCAAAGCGAGACAAGCTGGAAAGGGCTTGGCAAGAAGTTGCCGATGATGTAGGCAGACAAGGTATGTATGTATGTAGGTCAAGTGACTTGATGTAGTCACCTACATAGCAATTATTCGATGTGATGCATTGATGTGATTTGTCCAAGTATATTCCATATTTTACAGATGTATTTTGTCGTGAGAAGTGGCGCAATGTACGCACGGGTTTCCTACGAAGCATTCAATACAATAGTAATATGTGTTCCGACAACAATGATAGTACTGAAGACTTGCCCACACCACGTCGTAAACGTTTCTACTTGTATGATGAAATGAAGTTTCTTTTGCCATCAACAGAAACCATAGGACAAACGAAAAAGAGACGAAAGCTTTCTCGTGGTATCAAAGCGAAAACATCCTATGACGATCTGCCTAGCGGAGATTGCGGTGACATCGCTATACAAACGCACACTGCCCACGAAGATACTAAACAGTACAGCAACACTGATGTCATACAAAATACTGTCGGCGGCAAATATATTGAAATATTAAATGAGCTCACAACTAGCACACCAATACCATTGACTAGGCAATCTCTTGTATCCGCTACAACAACAACAACTAGGCAATCTGATGCAGCCCTCTCAATGAAAATCAATCGCCAATCTCCACATCTCTCGACCGATAATACAACAGATGAACCAAACATGCATTCAACTACGCTAGTTGGGTACACGATTGATGCAAAACGCGAAATTGAAAATAGTACAACAGTTTCGGAATCATTCAATTGTACTGCAAAACGTAACGAATGCGACAATCGAGATGAGCAGCAGTTATTGGCCTTTTTCCGTGGCAACATCGATGATATATTATCGCTTCCACGTTATAAACAACGTTTGTTTAAGCGACGTATGCTGGAACTTATCGATGATTTACATCATCCGGAAAATGGGGTTTCAACTAACCGCTACTGCTAAGAAAAAAAAAGTCCGGTTTGCATAGTTTTTATTAATCCTTAAACATTAGAAAATGTTTTGTACTACATTCCGCTATTAAAGTTAAATGTATGGTTTAATTATTTGATCGAAAAAAAAATCGATACGAATTGTTAAACGCCGTGCCTTTATTTTCTAGCCAAGAAAATTCTTTTACTCTGCATACGTGGTAAATCTTGTATTCTATTATTCTGGCGTCATTGCAGAGTGATAAGGGACATTTTTTTATATGCGTTTCACCTAGTTTGCTCTCAAACACACATCTACAACGTGGTTTCTGGACGTTCTTACTGCGTGTCATAAATTAAAATGTTGAGTACACTTTCTAGGGACATGTTTGATATACATACATAGGTGGACGGACCTTGCGGTATTGGAACCAAAATAACAAGCAAGACAAAAATTATTGTAATAGTAAATCTTTTTTATTTATTTCTTTTTTTGTAATCTACAAAATAGAGACATATCAATATTTCAATTTTATATCTAGAAAATGCGAATTCATTAAAGGCTTTACAAAAGATCCGGTGGACGCAATTGAATTGCAGAATTTGTTAAAATGTGTTTGCAGTATTTGAATATGTTGACCTAATCTAAACTAGTCATGCACTGGATAACAAAATCAAATTACTTAAAACAAACTATAAGCGCTGCGTTCAATACAATTAAGGATATCAAGCCAGATGCTGAGGGATATTTTACCTTTTTTTTGGAGGCAATATCAATTTTTTGTGATGATAGAAGTTTTCTATTTCATGATTCTCGATTATTAGAGGCATAAGAATATTTGAGTCTTTTAGTAGTACACATAAATATTTCGATATAATTACCGCAAAACTGTCTTCGAAAACGTTGTGTACATCTTATGTTGTTAACATAAACTTCATAGTAAATTAAGCATGGCAAGCAGCGTAGCCAATCAAAGTGTCAAACGATTAAATGGGATTGTAATGAGCTTTGGCTTTTTATGCTGCTAATACAGCTGTGAAATCCTCCTAATACATTTTTCCTTCATAATTTCATACATATTATTTTCTATTTATTATGTCTGGGCAAAGTTGTTATGTAAATTGAATTCCTATTCTTTTATTGCTGTTTTAAGTAGGACGTCAACGAATCAAGATCTCGTTTTAACCAATTAGCATTAAGACGAATTGTCTCCACGGCTTGAGATACAGTGCGCTCAGTTCCAGGGAACTGATTCTTCTTAAAGTAGTCTTCTACTTCAACTGCTCGCTCCTCCGATGCAAAATTTTCAATCAAATATTTTATAAGACGTGTAAGCAGAAAACTTCCCTATAAGGTAGTAAAATCGTAGAAGACAATTAGATTAGAAAAATGTATATGTGAGTAATTCTACGCGAAGTGCTTGATCTTACTTGATATTGCTCTAATAGCTTTTGGTTATTGTCTTTGAAGAATTCCCAAGCCATATCGCGTCCTTTGGGGTTAACAGCGACAGCAACAATAACAAAAACTGAGTCTTGTGCGCGTACTTCTCCCTAAAATTGATAGCAATATTACAATTTTTGTATCTATTCAAAATTCTCGTATTTTTTTTTATTTTTTTTATTTTTTGACTTACCGACATCGCAAAATCAATAACTTTACGCAATAAATCTACATTTCCAATGCAACCCAACGCACGCGAGATGCGGTCCTGTTCTTCGTGGAGGTCTGTGGAACGGTAAAGTTGCAACATTTCATTGAAGATTTTTTCATTACCGTCTTGCAACACGGCTTTATAGCAAGTTGAACGTAAATCAGCTGGTATGGGATTTGTTCCATCAGCGTGTTCTCGAAACCTGATGTCAAGATTAAAACTTATTCACAAACACAATGAGCGCCAATAGGCGGGTGTCTAAAACTCATCAATACAAAGCTTCATCCTCTTTTATTTCTAAATCACAGTAGATGAAGTCATCCGACTTGTGGCAACTTAATTGGAAATTGACATTTCTTCATGGTTGCTTACTTTGGATTTTGTTATGATTTAAAAATTAAATAATCTTATGCTTTGTATTAATACGTTCTGAAGCATATATGTAGGTACACTTACTTACCGTTTTTGTGCTTCTGCAATAATATCCTTACAACGGAACGATACCAAGCGCGATAAAACTAAGCTGCGCAACAACGTATCCAAATGATTTTCACCCTCTTGCACATCCCAACCTAATCGTTCAGCCACTGGACGATATAATTTTTCTCCATAACGGTTGAAGTGTTCCATTAAGTCGGTATGCGAAATTAATATATGCAAGTTAGCCAAAGAATTGGTGATAGCAGTCCATACAGTATAATTGGATTCATTGCGATACGAATCGATAAGTTGTAAAACCTGAGCAGTACTTGCTTGGCCCGCTTGCACCATAGCGAACATGTCATCAATCAAACCCAAACGATCTAGAGGCGGTAAAACCATTTTCCGCACAGCTGGCAATAATTTCTCAAGCATTTCTTTGGAATACCTCGTACGATAAAAACCGACTGTACCAGGATTTATTTTAACCCAATCATCGGCGCTCACATCCTCCAACACCACTTCCATTGTCTTCTTATCTAACAAAAAGGTTTTTGCGATCTTGCTTGGATCGCGAGACGTTGATACCGTCACTGGGATCACCCAGGTGTAATCACCATCTGGTGCTGACCCATCAGCAGTAAATTTGTTCTGCGTTAGCTTCAAAACCCGCTGATTATCACCTTTTTGTATAGACTCCACACTAACTACTGGAAATCCCTTCAATTTAATCCATGTCGACATCACTTTAGCCACAGGCTTCGAGCTCGCCTCTTGCAGAGCAGCCCACAAATCCTCCGTAAATGTGTTCTTGTATTGATGGCGTGTCAAATAGATGTTCATGCCTTTACGAAAGTCCTCCTCGCCAATATAATCGTGCAGCATACGAATAACAGAAGCACCTTTGTTGTAGCTAATTTCATCGAAAATCTCGTCTATCTCACATGGATGGCCGACAGGCACTTCAATGGGATGTGAGTTTTTCAGCGAATCTAATTCTAAGGCTCGCGTATACATATCAGTCACGAATTGCGTCCAAATGTCATATTCTGGGAACAAGTGATTTACGCACAGGAATTCAACGAACGAAGCGTAACCTTCATTCAACCATAAATGTGTCCACCATTCCATGGTAACCAGATTACCTAAAAGATTACGAAATATGTGAGGATAGTTTCCAACTAAATTTGTACATAAATAGCTTTTGGAGATTTTTAGTATAATATTGTAACAGGTTTAACAATTTGTGCATTCTATTTGCGATGGTAATGAAAGATACTTGCAAACACAAGAAAATAGAAGTATCATAAAGCAAAGTAATTGCTTTCTGTTATTTTGTTTTCACCTGTGAAGCAGCACCATTTTGCAACGTGGCTCAAACAATAAAAAAAATGACAAAAAGCAGTCGTTTATTTAACAAATAGCCGCATTGTAGACATAAAATGCATCTTACCAAACCATTGATGTGCGATCTCGTGGCCCACAGTTAAAGCAATCGATTGCTTGCGCATAAGTGAGGTATTTTTCGGATCCACTAATACAAATGTCTCACGATATGTTACAAGGCCCCAATTCTCCATCGCACCGGCCGAAAAATCGGAAATCGCTATCAAATCCATCTTTGGCAATGGATATGCAATGTTGAAATAACTTTTATAATACGGCAATACTTTTGTGGCTACTTCGAGTGCAAAAATGCCCTGCTCCTTCTTGCCAACAGGCGTGAAAACTCGTACTATTATGCCATCTTCCGACTTGCCTTCGACATAATCGTATTCACCAACCACAACCGCCACCAAATAAGTAGACATAATTGGTGTCCTATCGAAACTTATGCGACGCAAATTATGTCCTAAATTTTCCTCCTTGACTTCTGGCATATTGGAAAGAGCAATTCGATCCAGTGGCACAATTAGTGCTATGTCAAATGTTGCCTTGATTGCGGGCTCATCCCAACAGGGGAAGCAACGTCTAGCATCAGTAGCTTCGAATTGAGTTACGCCAGCATAGCGCTCTTCGCCACCAGGTGTAAAATACTTGCTACGATAGAAGCCTTTCATCTTATCATTAAGCTCTCCGGCAAAGGACATTTTTAAAATGCCAGCGGCCCCTGCTGGTAGTTCCTGATCAAAAGTTAACGTGACAGTCTCATTATCGGTGGAATATGAAATATTGCTTGGCTGCAATTTCTCGCCATTAACATCCAATTCAACTGAATTAATTTTTATGTCCAAGGCATTTAGCGTGATGCATTTAGTCGTGTCACATATCTATAAAATATAAATATATCTATTGATTAGTACATCTGAATAATGTAGAATAAAATTTATCCATATACAAAGCTTTGAAGCCAGGCCCTGTTCTAACATCTTTAAAATGTTTCTTATCGAAAAATATTCTCGAATTGTAGATACTTAACAATCAAGAATTAGCGGGAAGATAACACTTATAATAAATGTATGTATGTATGTATGTATGCATATATGTATGTATGTAGTATATGAATATGAGCATTATCAAGCTAGTATGATGAATTTATATATTGTCAAATAGGCCAATTATTCTAATGTAAAACAGTTCTAATAAAATTCTTTGTTCGTTCTTGGGCAGTACGCACACAGGAATACTTACATATATACATATAGGGTGGCTCAACAAGCTCCAAATTAAGTACTGCTGAGTCAACATTCCCAAACTAGTCGAAACGACACAGATTTATATAGATGCCACTCCGGCAGATTCCTCAAAAACTTTTTGGGTTTTTTTTTTTGCTGTTACAACTTTTTGTTCAACAATTTTTTAAGCAACTATTTCAGCTTTTTTTCAAGAATTAAAGTTCGGATAGTGCCTGGCTTTTGCTGTACATATACTATTAACCGTGAACAAGGGTTTGGTTCCTTACAATATAAATATTTTCAACCTTAAATATTTCCACGTAAGACCTGTTTATACCTTCATAGTCAGTTTTACTAAGCCTCCCTGTCAATGTGTTCTCCATAACCAGGCTAGTGATACGAAAAAAATCCATATTAAATATGTATCAATACTGAAAGGTGAAAAGCTTTTAACTTGTTTTGCCATTCTGATGACCTGTTACGTTCCCACTACAGTCGGGTCTACGGAACCGGAACGACCCAGATTTATATCTGGCCAAGGACACCACTACCAAAAACTTCTATGGGGTTTATATGGTGGGACAACAACAACAACAAGAGGCCTGTTACCTTAATCTGATAAATTATACTTGTTTGTCATGATTGGTTCAAAGTTCATTCACCCTATTTTTTTTACTAATGATATTGGCGGTAGGATCGTTGCTTGATTTCTGAGAGCGTCAAATATTTATTTATTTTTAAATCGCTAATCTATGCATATCTATCAAAACGAAGCCGCTTTTGCAGCACCCTGTTTATGTTAACGATTATTCCCATATTCTTTGTGTAAGATAATAATAGAAAAATCTGCGCAAAATCATTCCGGTTTCTTTGTATTCATTATCATAAATAGTGAACGGCGAAAAATATATGTACAGATGTAAGTGTATATCCACATGGACACCATTTCAGCATTCAATGCGGCTGAAGTGAAAGCAATAATGGATTACATGCATTTCACCCCTTCACTTAAGTCACATTCCATTGAAAATATGCCCAAGCCCTGACCAATATCAAAATACATGTGCATTCGTAAGTATACATAAGTACATATGTATGTATGTGGAATAAAACAAAAAAAGTGTAATCTTTTTACATACATACCTTTAGGTTCACACTAGTTTTGCCCTCAAAAGTGAAAGCCTCCAGGTTCGGCTGTAA